CTACAGATAGTGACTCAGAAGATGAACTTTTGGATGAATCTAAATCAGAAGACAGTTTATCCGAATTTCTTCCTGAACATGACCCCTGTTTTTCCCACACACTACAACTTGGTCATGCATGGCATGAAAAAGTTGGACCACAACTGAAAGTAATTTCCAAAGCATCAGCCATATATTCCTATATTCGGAAATCAACACAAGCAACTGATCTACTTGATGGAGAGGCCAGAGATCAATCAGTAACACCAACATGGTGGAACTCAGAAATTAATAGGATTAAGGTTTTATTGAAGATTCCCCAGGAAAAGTTGGATAATTTAGATACTGATAGATCGAAACTTACTTTTCATGATCGAACTGTGCTTGCAGATTTGGTGACAATACTGACACCTTTTGAACAGGCAACATATTTCACCCAGGCTCAGAACATTGTTACTTTCAGTTATGTAGTGTCATGTGTTTATGAGCTGATGAGATTGACAGCATGCAGTCCAGATATAATTTCAATCTTCTCTCTGCACTGAAGAAATATGTTCACTCCCAGCTGACTTATTATGAGCAACGAAGCATCTTCTACTTGGCTGCAACATTGGATCCCAGATTTAAACTTGACTGGTGTTTCACTAGACCTATGGTCTGTGAATCCAATCGAATGCTCCTGTAGCAAGAAGTCAAGAAACTTTCCTCAACAAATAAGTATACAACCATGGAACCAAAAGAGGATTGCAAATCCCCCTCTCGCAAAAGAAGTAAGCTCTTTAGTTTATTTACTACCTCCAAGAATCCAGCCACCTCATCCTCAGAGGATAAAGAGATCAACACCTATCTCGATGGTTATTGCATTCCTGAAGAAAACAACCCTCTAGATTATTGGGAGATCCATGAAAAACTTTCCTACCCTATCTCTACTAGCCAAACGCTACCTGAGTGTTCTAGCATCCTCTGCCCCATTGAGCGTTTGTTTAGCATCAGAGGCAAGACCCTCAGACCTGATTGCTACCGCCTCACTGATAAGACATAAAGAACAATGGACAGTTGTACTATATATAAGTCTCCTTTAAAAATATTTTTTGTTGTAACTAATCTGGCTCACAGCCACACCCCCCAATGAAAGAATAGACCATTCCAGGCGTTTACTTGTTGTTAAACAAATGTTTAAACAACTCTATTCAACTATTCATGAATGTGTTCATGAATACATTCCTATGTATTCTTATTCGTATTCGAATACTCAGCATTGTCTTGCATTCGTTTTCGTATTTGTATTCGATTACTGATCTCCAGTATTCGCCCCATCCCTGGCTAATACACCATTGTTTTTAAATATTTTATCTGTTTTTCACCCTGTCATATAGTGTTACCAGTGTGTGTATGTGTAAATTTTCCGGAGTTGGTATTTTCAAATGGTGTAATAATATTGAGGGTCACTTATATTTAGAATAACAGAACATTGTAAATTTATTTTATATTTTGCCTGATAGTCACTGATATAGCTTAAAAGCGCTTTTACAGGACCTTTGGAGACCATAAGAAATGAAAAAGTAATCTTATCACCTGCTATGCTTGAAAACATCACCAAACGATTCTTATTTCTGGATGTTGGTCAGTGCTATTCTCTACATTATGTTAGTGGCTGCTGCCCAAATCCATATTATTTAATTGTTTTTTTCCCTCAGTTATCGCTTTTGAGTAGTGACTACATAATTGTTGTTTTAATATAGCACATATACACACACACACACATACATACATGTATATAGTGTTACGACAGCGGAGGTCACGTGACGCTAGTAACATGTCATGCACTTCTCGAACGTTCACGTCCCTTCCTGAAATCTCGAGAGCCTACTATATATGCGGTAGTCTTGTATATATAAACCGGTAAGAACTGACGGCAACAAGGTAATGTGTATTTGACAGTTGAGTCAAGCACGTGAGACGTTCGTTGTGAATTATAGCGTTTGTTATAGCGCGACTGTGGAAATTAAGTGTAGTGCAAAGTTGTATTTAGAAAGAATAAACCAGTTTTATCTAAGAAAGGACTTGTATCGCTAAAGTTTCTCCGGAGAGAAATTATATGGAAAATTAACTAAAGACCGGAGGCGTAACAAATTGGTGTCAGAGAGAGGGACGGAAAAGAAAAAAAATGGAAACGAGAAGCGGCAAATCAAACTACAGCTTAGCAGATTTGATGGCAATACAAGAACAGCAAAAGAAACAAGAAGAACGAGAAGAAAAATAAGAAAAGAAACAAGAAACAAGAAGAACGGGAAAAGAAACAAGAAGAACGAGAAGAGAAACAAGAAAAGAAACAAGAAGAAAGACAACAGCAGTTGCAAGAAAACCAGCAACAATGGCAGCTGGAACAGCAAAATAAACAAGAGAAATTACAGGGTTTATTCTTTCTGAATATAACTTTACGATACACTTAATTTCAACAATGGAAACAAGAAGAACGAGAAAATAGACAAGAAGAATGAGAAGAGAAATTACAACAGTTGTTAGAGAAAAAAGAAAAGAAACAAGAAGAACGAGAAGAGAAATTACAACAGTTGTTAGAGGGAAAAGAAAAGAAACAAGAAGAACGAGAAGAGAAATTACAACAGTTGTTAGAGGAAAAAGAAAAGAAACAAGAAGGGAGACAACAGCAGTTGCAAGAAAACCTGCAACAGTGGCAGCTTGAACAGCAAAATAAACAAGAAGAGAGATTACAACAGTTGTTAGAGGGAAAAGAAAAGAAACAAGAAGAACGAGAAGAGAAATTACAACAGTTGTTAGAGGAAAAAGAAAAGAAACAAGAAGGGCGAGAAGAGAAATTACAACAGTTGTT